ATTTGACTGTTAAAAATAATAAATAATAAATATTTATTATTTAATATATTAAAATTAATTTTTAAATATATATTTTTAAATATCATAATTAATTTCTTTTTAAATTATAAATTAATAAAATTACAATTAAAATTGATTTCCTCAAGAACAGTTTTGGTGACATAAATCCCACGAGGAAAATAAGGTTGCATTTGGAGTCCAATCCATAGAATATAGACAAAGATTAGATGCTAAGTTCTAGGGTCATTATGAACTAACCCAAAAAAATTCTACCAGTAAAAGATCTGTATTTCAATTAAAACTTTTGGTCAAAGTTGATAATATCATAGTATCATCAACTTATATCCCAAGAACTCTTTAAAAAAAATTATTTCTCAATAAAATTGCACTGGAAATTGAAAATTCTAAAACCATAGAAATTCAAAGCTACATTATCTACTTAGAAAAAAGATGATATGTGATGTCCTTTTACTATTGCAGATGGCAGGAATCGGCCAATATTGCCCAGACAACAAACTTTCACCTCCCACTTTGGACGGTTTCAAAAAGAATCCTAAATCACGGAAATATGTTCATGTCATCCAGATTCTTAAAAAATATCCCATTGTTTCAGTTTCCTAGGTCTATTTTTTTTCATGTTCACTTTTTCTAACATATGTTCTTGTTTCATACATACAGGATGAAGATGGGTGGAAAGGGCCAGCAAGCATGGGTGAGTGTGGACCCATGTGCTACCCACCACCAACCATGACCCCATTTATGACTCATGAGGTCGAGCCCTACCTATGTTTGGGTGGATTCACCTTCACTGCACCCATGTCATAAGACCAGTGCCCATGTTTGTATCCTCACTTCATTGATTAGAAATTCGAAAATCAAAGCCCCCCATTCTAGTCTTTGGTGCAAAGAGAGGCGTGCTAGCTAGCTGCAACTCTCTCCCCCACCAACTACTCCTTTTTTGTTTGTTCTTCTGCTCTTAGAAAAGTGATATGGACATGATCTTATTCCATGTTTTTAGAAAAGAAAAAAAAAAGAGGGGATGATTCTAGCTAGCATGTTTGACAGCGATGTTACTTAATTACATTAATTGCTTTGTTGAAAACTCGATCATTCCTAGTAAAAATTTTGACATAAAAATTGTGTTTGAAAACATTCTATGGTGGATCATGCACTAAACGTTAAAGTCAAAAAAAATGGCATGGTTAAAGAGATGCATTATGAAATTTAATTACACGCTAATAAAAAAGTTGATGTGGCTAACCCTAATTTTCAAGATGTCTTTTTCCTTGCCGTGGCCCGTTACATTTAGTCATTTACCATGTACTGATCCATGCCATTTTTTTTTTTTCATTTAATCAATTTTCCAAAACAGTGGGGTATTGGGGGTTAATATGAAAAGAGGGCAAAAAAATATTCACTCAATAATTAGGCAGGGTATAATTCAAACTTCTAGTCTAAAGGTCCACACGTTTGATCAAGATTCATCATTAGTTTCAAGAACATCAATTACGCCAAAACTCTTGATGACCAGCATAGGGGAAATTTGTGTGCCTCCTCTCCAAGTTCCTTAATAATGATGTACGCATTGACCCTTTTACCGTTTACTTTGGAAGCAAGACTGACTTGTGGATGTCCATGCATATGCATTATATCCCACACACATAAATTAATTGATACCAAAATGATTAACATGTGCCATCAATTTGATTATCAACTACCGGCCTTACCACTCCAAATATTATAAATTATCTTAGACTATGGAATCTTGTTTTCTGATATATGGTCCTGGGTAAACTTTGAAAGAGACGAGGGTGGGTCGAGTTTGACAAGAAAATCAATTTTTTAGAACACATGAAGGCAGAGTCTTGTGTTCACAAACAATTGATTACATATTTGTTGCTTTTACTAAATTACCTTTAATTAAACAGTAATTCTTGTAATTTTTTTAATCTTAACTAAAGATAAAATCTCTCATAAAAGAATTAAAAAAAGAAACCCAGAACTATAGCACGTGGAAACATATGAAAAAAGGAGGTGGAAACGTAGCGAGACACCATCAAACCATCAATGTCATAGGTTGCATTACATAATAATTGCTGCAAAAATGGGATCCATTATGCAGTGATTTTGGGGGCCGGTTATTATGCTCATTAAACTAATCTTTGGCTCCAATTCCTAAGCATATGATCCCATATGCATGTTGGGTTCACATTAGTACTAGCAGAGTAGTATATGGTAGTGTGTGTATATATATATATTCTGGTAAACAGGTCAGGATTATTATTAATTATGCTATTGAATTGATCTAGTTTCAAGAGGGGTGATGGGGGAGGACTGAAAAAAAAGGGGGGGGAGGGGTTATGGGGGATCTACAAAATGAATGCCAATGGGGACAAAAAGAGGTAACGGATCTCTCTTTTGATGTAATTGAAGATTCCCTTGCAAGTCCATGACAATGTGTACTATTTGCCTTGTGAACTTGACAACTTGTCCCTCTGTGACAGCTTAACTTGTGCCATACACTGTGAGCCTTTGTTTTGTTTATTAGTACGTACCGCATATAAAAGGGATAGTTTATAAATTAAAATTATTTAAATATTTTTAATAAATTTTTTATTTTTTTTAATTAGTAGTGTTTTGATAATATCCACACCTAGATTGCATTTTATTGTCTAGTTCATACTCAATCGAATTTAATTATATAAATGCATGTTTTACATAAATTTTGAGTTGTTGATTGTATAATCAAGTAGTTGAAAAAATAAAAAAGAAGCTTGAAAAAGTAGAAAGAATTTACAAAAAAAAAAAAAAAATGGTTTCATGGTTCAATTCCAAAGAAATCAAATCTTTCTAGAAAACTTAAGGTTATATAAGTTGTTGCTGTATAAATAAGGGGATTCTTATTAATTTTGTTCATAAAAATATGGGAAATGAAGTAGAGTTGGTTAATGTGATTAATGAAATATGTCAAGTGGGTATGTAGATTTCATATTTGTACATTAGAGACCAACACAAGTAAGTCATGTGAAAGTGTCTCCATGCTCCCTTTTCAATGCTCTTTGGTCCACCCAAAAGAAAGCAAGAAATATATTGCTGCAACTTGGACTGTGTCTTGATATCGCCATCATAGGTACGTGGGGCAGCCCAAAGTGGCCACATCCACCTCCCTCTGCACGAACATTGAACCATACCTTTCGTTTTGAAATGGGGGTTTGGCTTTTCTTTAAAGCAATTGATGGAGTGGAGCAGCCGAGCAGGTGCAGATCTGCTCTTTTTCTAAATTTGACCTTTTCCTAGTTTGCTTCCTTGAAACCTCGATCACTTCCCTCTTCCCCACAACATTGACTTAATGAGGATACCTAAGCCTATGAAAGACACTACCTTATCCCCCATTTTGGGCACATTTTGAAGATTGAAATCATCCAATTAACTATGGATAAGTTTGCATAAGCATGTGATCAGATCCATTGCATTGAACCAGTCACAACCTCCATAATTGAAATGGCTTCTCTTTCCCCCCTTAAAAGGGAGTTCAATAATTGGAAGGGCTTTGCTCATTCTTCACACCCATCTCCATCCGAGCTTAAGTTCAACAGTTCACAAATCAGGAAAATATGGTCTTTGTGAGGTAACCTAATCCAAATTTGGGTTAGATAGGTTTAATTAGATTTAGATTCAATGAATTGAAATTTGTGTTTTGCCATCAAGTAATGTATATGTCATATAAATCCATCACCAGCTAGATCTAATTGTAAGAATTTATCTTATGTTAAGCAAATTCTCTCACACCTAGGATGTGTATTGTTTAGGCCTTTATTAGTAGAAGAATTTAGAGAAGCCGTGCAAAGACAATTGCTAATTTGGCTTCAAATTCTCCTGTCTTTTGCTTAGTCTATGAGTTATTCAATTATGCTAAGCTCCCTACTTTCTCTTAACTTTATTTTCTAGGCTTTTTTTCTTTTTTTTTTTATCTTCAAGTGCAATGTGAAGGTTTAGTTAACAAATTATATTAGATTTCAAAAGAAAAATTTAAAATCAAGTTAATCATTATTTTATTATTAAAAAATAAAATCAATTTTTTTTTAAACAAGATTATAAATCAGAGATAAGGGAATTCAAACTTCAATTCTTAGGTTAAAGGGATGCACATTATAAACCGACCTATAATTGTTAGGTTATGAGACTTATATGTAACTTTTATTTATTGATACACGAGAAACTTAAATTACTTGTAAAAAAAAATAAAATAAAATAACAACCATAAAAGGATGGAATAACTTACATAGGGTTAAACTTAATCAAAGCTAGGGAGCTAGACATTGTCCCTTAATTAAAAGAACAATGTACTTGTGCCAAATTTTTGTTTGCCCAAAACACAAGATAGGTACTTGTGCCAAATGGAAAGAATAAAACCAAATGGTAAGTAATAGGCTAGCAGCTAACTATAAAATATCATTAAATGTAAAGCCTAAATCTTTGCACTAATTAATTCAGTTTTGGCATTGCCTTTTCTCATAATACACTCATAGCAATTAATAAGGCGTTACAACTTACAACATTAACTAGCTAGACTATACGGAATAGTAGCCATGTGACCCATTCCTGACATTACAAATAAATAAATGCATATCTGTATTCGATCTAGGGTACAATGAAAAAAATTAAATGTTTGAAATTGTTAGGTACAGCTAACGGACTCGCAGTCCACAGAGATTTATATCAATTTTCCAGGTACAATCTTTCGCAGTTTGAATTGTCTGTTTGATTGCGGAGAAAATTATGCCGACAAAGAAGCTGTTGCTCACATTAATAACATAAATAATAATACAGACATCAACTTCCAACTAATTGGAAACCTCAAGAATTAAAACAACCATTTTCAGTCAAAGTTTGTGCTCTTCTTAATGTCACAAAGTAGGCTTGGTCAACTCCAAATAAAAAAAAAAAAGAAAAAAAGAAAATTAGTTGAGATAATTGCAAAAAAAAAAAAGAGGAAAAAATCGAAATTAATACCGGGTCGAGTGGGCTGGACTTCAAACAGGCCTATAGGCTTTTGTTTCCTAAGCCCCATTGGGCCTCTACCTTTTGCATTTATTAGGGAACCACCGAAAAGATAACGAGTCCATAACCAATTTCACTCTCACCCATAAAACACCTCCCTCTTTTACCCAAAAAAATAAAATAAAATAAAACACCTACTCATCATTACCTTCGAATTCCACGAAAGGTGCGTGGCGTAGTGGTGTTAGTGTGACATCCCCACCCGACGTCCCCGCTGTCGCCGCTTGCCGGAAAAAATGGACCCCACCCTACCTGTCACTCCATTCCCTGCGCGTCTTTTTGTCTGAAACCGGGACACGTGTCAAAAAGATGTAGAATAGAAGAATCCGACGTTGGAGATTTCTTCGAGGATTTGCGCAGGGCTGCTCATATAAGTGGAGGAACCGACCCTCCCCCTAATATGACCTGTGTTATTTCCTGCTATTAATCATTTCACTCTTTTGGAGCGGCGAAAGGATATTTTAGTGCATCATTGATTCATTCTTATCCTGGAGATCCTTTAGTGATTCTCTGTAGTCTGTACTGTTCACTTTTTCAGGGGGAATAAAGAGGGGGGAGAATGGGCGTTCTGGATCATGTTTCTGATCTCTTCGATTGCTCCGGCGACGGTCCGAAGCACAAACGTAAGCAGTTACAGGTAATTTCTCTATACATCTTTCTTTTTTTTGGGCTGTTGATGAGGTGCGGAATCAGTTCTTGTTTAATGGTAGATCGATGGGTTAGGTTGAGATCGAACTGTTTGTTGAGTATCTCTGTATAATTCGACTGCTATTTGACTATTTTCTTGCCTCATTTCTTCAATTTGATTAAGTTTAGATTCAGATCTCGAAATCTCGATATTGATTATGTTTGGAATCGATCTGGTAAATCGAGTTTGAGGACTAGAAACCAACCGGGAGGTTAGAAACAATATAAGCACTTGAACATGAAATTGGCTGTTTGGTTCATTTTATGCCTGTTTTTAATTACCTCTCATCTGTTCCTGGAAATCAAAATGCTTTGATGCAATCTGCATTATATTCGCTTATTGTTTATTTTACCTATAAGTTTTTCTTCTATCGAAACTTTCGAGAAACAATTCTTCAAATTAAATAAAGAAAGTGGGAAATTGAAAATGGTCGAAATGGAATAAGTATCTCTTGAGTAATAATGTTATCAGGGTCCCATCAGGTTGGTAAGATGAGCTGCCCTTTTCCTACTTTTGTAAAAGACAAAAGCAATTCTGTACATTTGCACCCCGGAAAAAAAAATATGATCTTGTGAATTTGATTGATGAGACCTTAATTTCTTTAATTAATCAGACAGTTGAGCTGAAGGTCAGAATAGACTGTGAAGGATGTGAGCACAAAGTGAAGAGAGCCTTGGAAGGTATGAAAGGGGTGAAGGAAGTAGAAGTGGAGCGCAAGGCTAACAAAGTGACGGTGGTTGGTTACGTGGAGCCGTCGAAGGTGGTTGCGCGCGTCCAGCATCGGACGGGGAAGAAGGCGGAGTTATGGCCCTACGTTCCTTACGACGAGGTGGCCCACCCATACGTCCCTGGGGTTTATGACAGGAAGGCACCTGCTGGGTACGTCCGAAATGCTTCCTTTGATCCACAAGTGTCGCAGCTCGCACGGGCTAGCTCAACCGAAGTGAGATACACAACCGCCTTCAGTGACGAAAATGCCAATGCCTGTGCTATTATGTGATGATCATCAGTGTTTCTTTTATTGAAGATGGTACTGTATTGTATTGTATTGAATCTATGTTGTTGTACTAGTTTAAACTTGTGATAATATTCCGTGGAGAATAGTAGTTTGTTGTAATCTGCTTCAAGTTTTGATTTGTGCCAGTGTCAAGATTTATTTACAATATTAAGCAACTCTTAATTAAGTTTTTTCTAATATGTGTTCAGGCAAAACTTATCTTATTCTCGGAAATTTATATAAAAAAATATAAAAATTAATATTAATTTTAATATCAACATAACATAAATAAAATAAATTTAATTAGATAATTAATAAATAAATAAATAATTTTTATTTCAACATAAATTTATTATAAAATGATATATTTAATATTCTTTTTAAAGATACATGCTAAAAAACCTCTCTTGATTTAAAAGGGAAAAAAGAAGAAGTTAGATCTAAGTCTAATAAGGTTATGATATTATCAATGACTTAAATAATTTAATAGTAATTTTTTTTGTTAAAAATAAGAGATATTGAATTTGAATTATATGACATACATGTGAGGTGAATTAAGAAATGATAATAAGTTGTTTTTTATCATGCAACCAACATAAAAAAAAAAAAAAACTATGATATTGGATCCCAAGAATCATATAAAAAATAAATTTTTAATATTAAGGTAGGAGATTTGAAACCATTATTAATTTTAGATTAGATTTTGTTGTTTTATAGTTTAAATTGTTTTATATTGTAAAATAAAAACCCTTAAATGAGAAAAATGACTAAATATCAAGATACACCCCTTCTTTAATCAAGGATCATTATTTTGTTGTTTAAACGTAAAATGGTTTTCCATTTAAATTATATATGAAAATACACATTTAAGTTTCCTCACTTTAGCAACAAATTTAAAGATAAAATGATTATAGTTCTAGAGCAAGCTTTTGCTTGTCCCCTTTTTTTCTCGTCAGCAATGCTTTTGCATGTAGAATGGTGAAAGTACTAGTAATAAGTGAAAGCAAAGTAGGTTGAGAATTGTTCCTTTTGCCCTTTCCAACAACAAATTCTAGAATTGAAGGAGATTTCGGGGTACCATGCTTTGAAGGGGATTTCAAAGTAGGAAATGTAGCTTTGAACTTTGAAGACTGTGCGCCTTTCTCGGATTATCTAAATCAGTTAACCCCACTTTCTCGGCCCCCCAAAAAAGGAAAAAAGTTATCTCGGGCCCCCTTTTTTTTATAGTTTTTATCTTTAGTTTTCGTTTTCGATTTTTTTTTTAGCATTAGATAAGTATTATTATATTTTAAAA